CACCAAGTCATTGTTTCAGGTTTGCGAATGTCAACTCTGTGGGAAGCCAGACAGAAGACTGAAAGTGATGCTTGTGATGTTTCAAAGGTGTAGGAATTATTGACAAAGTATTTACAGAACACCATTATATAAACAATTCTTTTCTTTGTATTTCCTGAACTTTATGACAATGTTAAAATGAGGGTTTTTTGCTTTTCTTATTAAGTGCTTGATGTTCCACAGCCACGCTTCATTTGTATTACATTGAAACTATCACCACCTCTTAAAGATCGTGAAGCAAGAGCTTTCTACAGCAAGAGCTTTCTACAGCAAGAGCTTTCTACAGCAAGAGCTTTCGCCATCTCAGCCAGTCTCTAAAAATTTCTTAGTGAATGCTATTGATGTGTTTTGTCTTTTAATACAATTAAATACAAAGTATTTATAAAATATTTGGAATATACTGTATATATTCATTGATCCTGAGATTACTGTTAAAATCCTGTTTATAAAAGTATGCAGTCCAGAGTATGTTACTAAAATGATTGTTAAGACATCTGCCCAATTTGTGACATCATTTTGAATTCATAACAAAGACCAACTTAAAAATATGGAGAAGTCATTTCCACTTTAGAGAATGATCGGAGAAGTCAGAACATGCTTGTTTAATTCATTTGTGTTTGCTCAGTCAGAGAAGCAGTTTTCAGCACAGTTCACGTTCATGAAAACTCCAACATCAGAATATCACTCCTTTTATCTTGGGGTAACTGTGAGAGCATTGTATTCTCCTCTTTGAAACAAATTTAGAGTTTTTGTTGAAACTGACCCCTTTTATTTTTCAACAAAAACTGAATATCAAATAGGAAAACCTTACATTTATCAATCTAACAGTTGTCTATCATTTATATAGCCACTATCAGAACTAGGGATGGGTATCGTTTAGGTTTTATCCGATACCGGTGCCAAATCGGTACTTTTGAAACGGTGCCGGTGCTCAAACGGTGCTCAAACCGGTGCTTAAAGAATGGAGAACACAAAATTGGTCCAAAAACCTCTCATGTTCAGCTGTTTTTTGTAAAAATATAACAATGTTAGCCTTTTCTGCAGCTATGGGGCATATATGGTATCACTCTTGGCTGGAAGCAGTGCTTAAACAATGGAAAAAACACAAACTTTGTCCTAAACCTCTCATGTTTAACTGTTTTCCACTTTTTCTTTGGTCATTTTAGCCTTTTTAGCCAGGGTGAAGGGAGTATCTGCCATCAAACAAGAGGACAGCATGTAGCTATGATGATGTTTGCTAGTTCACCTTACATGCATTAATGTAATAACGTGGTTAGCCTACTCAACGTAAATTAGCTACTCACGCAGAGAAGAACGGCTGCTGCTGCATCATCATCCGTCATCATTTCTGCTACACTGGCAGGGCTAGGGGCCAGGACTCTCCTCTTCGTGTTTTTGGGGGATGTTGCATAACAGGCAACCCACCCGCAGTAGATGTGCTCGGTGTGAGGTCTCGCAGCAAGCTATCAAATACGGCGCATTTCTGGGCTTTTAAAAAAAACGCTATGCGTCGCCAGGTGTTTCATCGGATTTGAGGTGTTACCTCCTTTGACAGTATCACAGTATCAGCTTAAAGCACTTGTTGCTGCTGAGTTTGCATATTTTGCTGTGAAGTACAGCCAGACTTTGACCGCTTCGCCTTGGACATTTTTAATCTGTAGCTCTGCTCTAAAACAGAACGTACGTACCTGGCCCCGCCTACTATCCTCGGAAACGTAAAATGATTGGCTAGAATCTAAAGTGTATCACAGCTCAGGAAAAAAAAGCACCGAAATAAAGCACCGAAATGTGCGCTGCTTTTCGGTCTGGTTACTACCGTTTATGTCAGAACCGACACCGGTACCCATCCCTAATCAGAACCACTGTCCACAATAAAAATACAAAGATCCATGAGTACATCAGATGTCATCAAACTGATGTACTTATGTACTTAGTGAATCCATCAGGGATTCAGAAACCTGAGAAAAAAAGAGGAGCAAGAAAGGGAAGCATCGTGGAAGTGTGTCTGCATAGGTTCTCATTTATCCAGATCATAGTAGTTTAAGAAGCGTGGAAAGAAAGTGATTGGAGTTAGTGAAGTTTTGATGAAGACACTGCACCTCTCATCCCAGAGGCTTGTTTAGTTCTAAAACCAAGTGTTTTAAGATGCTTAAGCAAAGATAAGTTGTAAAGATAGATGTAGCAATAGCAAAGCGACAACAATATCAATAAGTAGGAACATAAGGAACTCGAGGGGTCAAGAGCCGAAAGAGGAGCTAGAAAAGATGTGGAAGATGAAAGCAACAGTGGTCTCTGAGGTAATTAGAACACTCAGGGCAGTAACATCCACCCCCCCACCCACCCAAACTTTGTTTGGCTCCAGTAGATTCTAGGAATGTCATCTGAGATCTCTGCAGTCTTATCTGAGGTCTAAAAGAGCATAGTCCTAGGAACATAGTTCTAAATACTCCTGTATATATAGTGGTTCATCCAGTGGTTCTATCCAATCACCCAAAATCTCAAAATATGATGGTGACTAGGGCTGCACGATTTTGCATAAAATGAGAATCATGATTTTTTGGCTTAGAATTGAGATCACGATTCTCTCACGATTTTCTTTTCCAGTATAAATATTTATTGCACTTATTAACTGCACATCAACTTCGTAACAGTTGAGACTGAACATAAAAACAATAAATAAACATAAAAACAACAAATGTCTCACGTTGTTGTTGCTGCAAAATGATGTACTGCTTGAAATTCCGTCTCCGTTGCTGGACGCTGCGTGTATAGAGCAGGTAGTGCAACAATAGAAAAATAGTTGCGGGACGGCACTGTGTAGCGTGTGTCTAGGGTGTTGATCATTTTCCTCGTTTTGCACAGTGTTGATGGGAGCCATATCTTTGGTCAGGTGATAAGTGATAGCCTCCGTAATTTCTTTGTGCCTGCGGGAGTTCGACGGGTATAGGGAAGGACTGTATAAGGTTCCCGTTATTGATGTTTGGGTGGTTGACAGGGACGGATTTTCTCCAGTCACTTTCTTGTCATCCCTGACGTGCTCAACGTTGTTTTTTCCCTGCTAATTTTAGCATCATACGGCACAGCTTCTGTATCACGTGGTATAAGGCTCCGCCCTTGTCATTTGTTGAGCAGGAAGAGTGAGCGCTTGTTTTCATGCAGATTACGTCCCGGATCAAAATGCGGTACAATCGTCGTCGTCTTTTTCTTTTCTTTTTTTTTTTTTTAAATCGTTGTCATTTGGAAATGAGATCGCACATAAGTATGAATCGAGATCGCGATTTTCTAACGATTAATTGTGCAGCTCTAATGGTGACAGAAGAAAAGTCAGTTTATCACCAGTTTTTCCTTTTTCCCCCCTTTCTTTTTTGGAAACATGAATCTTTCAAAACAAAAACTAGCAGTCTGATAGGCCCGTATTTGATCATTAAGAACACATAAAGGGAAGAAACCTCTCGCCTAAAAATCAAGTTTCAAGATTAATGTAACAGCAGCTAAAGGGCAATGCAGTCTGTATTGTTGGTAGTGATGTCCAGTACTGGGTGTGGAAGTCTTTTAGATTTATCTTTCTGCTCTTTGTTCCTTTACATGCCACTGAGACTCTTTATTTTAGCTAGAGCTTCTATACCTACCATACTCTTTTGGTGTTTGCTTAATGCATAACAGCATGAATAGGCTTGCCACAAACTTTAAACAAATAAAACAAATAAAATGTGTTGCCAACTACTGCACAAGTAAGAGACAAAAACAAAATAAAACAAAACAACCCCCCCCCCAAAAACAAACAAACAAACAAACAAACAAAAAAAAACAAACATACAAGACCTGGAGCACAAAGAATGTGAAAAAACACAGACACGTAAATCAACAATTTTCCAATAGTATGTGTGTGAGAGAGAGGACAGCGTGAGAAGGAGATGGGGAGAGAGTGTATGAGTCAGGCATTCTCACACGCAGTCACTGTGTCTTTGTCACAAATGTACTTGATAATTAGGGTAACTGCATTGATGCCCCCCAGAAGCCTGAAGGCAGACAGCTCCCAAAAGTACACACGACCTGGTCACCATGTCCCACTTGGGCCAAGGCCCAGCAAGCCCCAGACCCAGACCCCACCATGCACACACACACACACACGCTCATACACTTCGTTCACTCGCTCTCACCTACCAACTGATGACATACAGAGAGACAAAGACACGTGCAAACACCCCCCCCCCCATGGTGTTGGTGAGCAGATGTCGCCCTAAACCACCACAAACTGCTTGTTGCCCCTGATCTGAGGCAGAGTGTGTGAAACAGGGGTGTAGGAAGATGTCCCCCTCCCTGCACCCCTGTGTGTAATTAAAAAAGGAGGACGGGGGGTGGGGGGGGGGGCATAAGGCGCATCCGTGTATTCATGAATATCCGTTACACAGGGGGCCCTTTCATGGCCTTACACACTAACCTACGCAATCCACGACACCCCCTTCAAGACTACGTGTGTGAGTGATGTGTTGTATGAGGGAGTGTGGAGGAGGGAAGGATGGGACAGGTAAAACCAAGAGGTTGAGGACTACCCCCGGAAGGAGGGTAATCCTCTACCTCCTGTGGCTCAGTAGGCACCCCCATCTCCCACAACCTGCCATGGGTTAGGAAAAGGTTAGTCCAGGGCCAGCAATATCAATGCCCCAGAACACCACCGTGTTCGGGGTATCACCTATTCCCCCACCACAAAAAGTGGATTGGAGTTTGCAGACGAGTCCCAAGACTTCACCAAGCATCCACTCAGTTTCAAAAGACCCACACTAATAATATATATACTCAAGAGTCTTACCAAACAGCAGTGTACACAAACACATAACAAAATGAAGACCTCCCAAATCTGTTGACACCATGTTGCTCTACTTTCACATGGAAAGGAACGTTCTGAATGCACAGAAGTTGCTTCAGCATTTTCGTTTTGTTACCTGTGATTGTTGACTCACCTGCGTATGACCAGTCAATGTCTTCTGAAAATTTGCGCTGATTCCTGTATCCATATCCTTCAGCTGCAAGACAGAAACAAATGGTCACCAACACATGTTCTACATAGAGTATTCAGTTTCTTTATCTATAAATAGTAGAACTATTTACATAAATTATTTAACATATCCAAGTTAACTACAATAACAGTGGGTATTTTATTTGGAGATTAAGTATCGGAATTTCAGGAGCGGGGCCACGCCTCCAAACACGCTCCTTCCGGTTGTCATCTATATAGGTTCGCCCAGTTCTGCAAGCTGTTCATTCTCGTTTACGTGCCCCACCCTACCTCCGAGTTTCAATTCTTTAACTTCTTCTCTTCTATTTAGTTCATGGGGATCTTTTTGTTTGTTTGTTTGTTTGTTTTTAAATACACAGATGTGACAGATTTGACTTGGGCAAGCAGTCTAAGTATATTCTGCAAGATATTTGAGTAATTATTCATTTTTAGCTTATTTTTTTCATTAATGTATTTTCTCTCTATAGGCCAGGCTGCTGTGAAATGGACTCAAGCTCCACCATCATGGACTGCACCTCGTATCAGGAGTCTTTGCTCTACTTAAGAAAACTGTTACTTTGAGTTGAAGCGTCATTTTAACCAGAACCTTCAGGTGGTGGAAAACTTCATGGCTATTATTAAAGTCCTACGGCTGAACAAGAGGTACTGCCACCAAATTAAATTCAAGCTGTTGAATGGAGCTCATTTGCAGGACAGGAGACTCACTTGAGAAGCACCTGATAATACTGCTCAGATATATCAGAAATTTTTTGTTGCCACAAATAAAAGGGCTGCTTCCCAAACATAACGCCAGTGTGTGCGTGTGTGTTCTGGGGGGTGTGTCACAGTGCCATTTTTTTGTTAGTGATAAAATTTTGCTACTTTTTTACCTCCATTTTTTTCTTAATAGGGCAGAGATGTGAGTGTGAACTTGCTCTATAGTGTGTGGCATATTAATTCGGGAGGGTGGTGAGGTTTCTGGCTGTGCTGCAAGTGAGTAAATGCCAGTCAATGTAAATATTTTAGACAAATAAAAAAATCTTTGCTAAAGATGTAAGCATTTACTGTTTGTGGATGAGAGGAAATAAACTTCAAATGGCAGACTTTTGCTGTACATTATACCTCTACAAAAAGATTTTCTTTGGCAAAAGTGGCAGTCTAATGACAGTCTGGTGTTGTGCTCAAGCCAACATGGCACAGTCACAGACAGAAGCCATGTTAAGATGGAGACACAAGCTAAAATGCTGCCGAGGTCTGGGGTGTGAGGTCTGTGCTGTCAGTAGGGCCAACCCTGACAGGAAATTGTGAGCTCTGTCTCTCTTAAGCTGGAAATGTCAGCCAGACAGTGTAAGTAAGCAGTTCTGACATGTAACACCTGTTTGCTCTGTAACCAGTATATCAACAAGAGCTTATTACAGTCTGTTCCTGTGTATGCAGATGTCTCTGTGCATACATATATACACACTGGCGTCACACTCTCCCTAGCTAACAATCTGTCACGAAAGTGTTAAGAGCACTAAAGTTTTCATTTTAGATTAAATTTCAGTTTATCAAAGTTACACTCTAAGCTTAATTCCCAACAAGGCAAAGCTGGGAACCTAGGCCAATGACAAATAATTTGTCTGGATAATTTGATTACGCATACTTTATTTGTTGAGTTTGTAGATTTTTTTAACCTCTCAAATGATTCAAATATACTTTTTAAAATTCTCAGTTTTTGTGTCACTACATATCCACAAGGTTACAATTTCTACATAATAAAGGTTTAAAAAAAACACAACAAAACAAATCATTCAAATTTCATCTTTTGTGTGACTTGCAATCAGAAACTTAAAAACTTGGATTTTTGTAACATAGACAATTAATAACTAGCATTTAATAACCTGGTACAAGTTCATGTTAGGGACATCTGTTTAAAAATAATCATAAAAAACAACCAATAATCAAAATGTTTGACAATTAATGTGAATAGAATTTAATCAAGAAATAATTATGCTCTCTAGCACTCTTCTTGTAAAATAATAAGACTTTTATTTGCAGTGCATATTAACAGGAACCCAACAACTAAATTGAAGTTTTAAAAATCACATATACATCTATACACTTTCCCATATTTGCTTTAACTTTGTAATAGTCAAAGCTTGTAAACTCAAATTAAAAATGACAGTTGTCTCTGAATTTACAAACATATCTCAAAGCTGTGAGAATTTGTGCTCTTTTTAAGACATTTTAGCATGTTTAATAGATCAGAAGTAGCATCAGATTCCTTTTTAGTCTATGAGCATGCAAGAGAAAGATTTTTTTTGCAACCATGCCTCAAATTCATTTTTTAAATGGTAGTCTGGTATCACTTTTGCTCTAACTGAAAGCACAAAATAACCTTATTTTCCCAATTGATTGGGACAGGTGACTGGGATGGATGACATTATGCTAAGTTTGAGGTAATTAGCACATTTACAGTCCATGATGTTCAGGTTTTTTGACAAATCATATTTTCCTTTGTTAAGTAAACTCGGCAAGCAAAGCGCTTGGGAACCTCTGTGGAGGGAGCATAAAATGATGTCACACTACACAATGTGGCTAGTGTTTGTTGCGCTGTTTGGAGAAAATATTCCTGAGGCCATCAATAATGAAGAAAAAAAAGGTTTCTGTTATAGAGCAAAAGGGGATCAAGAGAGAAAAGCTGATTTTAGAAGAACAAAGAAGTGAACATGGGAGGGTGACTGAGTAGGAGAGATGTAATTCAGGTCTTGATGATTGGGGGTGGTGGGTTAACATGCTTACTGGAAAAGAGTGAAGGAGTAGAATAGATTCTATGGAGAATTCTTGCTCAGCGCCTGTACGAAATAGAAAAAGACCACAACTGTGTCACTGTGTTTATTCAGCGGAGAGTGGCCGACTCTGTGCTCCAGTCTGTGGGAGCCCCGCAGCCTCCAGCCAGAAGCTGAATAAGAGGATTAGCTAAACCCTGGGAGAGCCAGGACATCTACAGGCTGTGGGGTGAGAACTGGTGCTCATGCCAGAATGTGTAACAACCCCCTCCCCTCTACTTCCACCCGAATCCCTGACCCTCAGCTCTTGATGCCAACGAGGATTTGAGCATGGTGGGGGTGGTATTAGTAATATTTTCATTGGATGAATTACTGGTAAAAATACAGGATGAATTATTTATTTCTATGAAAATCCAATGAAAGAAAAAACAACAGGAAAAAAATTTATTATTTCATACACACAGACACTAACAAACTCTGAATATGATCTCAAACCATTGTAAACGACTGATTACTATATAGCACTTTTTTAATCTACTCAAATAGTACTCAAAGCACTATGCAATACGCCTCATCTCAGTCACCTGTTCACACACATACATAGAAGCACGTTTTTCTACATCGAAGTTATTTATTGGGAACCAAGCCCCAGTGCATTTGTTGAAGGCACTGAATACCATCATAAAGTATGCCGATGACACCACCATGGTTCGGCTCATCTCTGATGGAGATGAGACAGCGTACAGGGCGGAGGTAGAGAACTTGTCCCACTGGTGCTCAGAAAACAACCTGAAGCTGAACGTCCTTAAAACAAAGAATTCCTAATGGACTTCAGGTCTCACCTTGACGGACAACACCAACGTCCTGGTAAAGAAGGACCAGCAACAGCTGCACTTCCTTCGTGTCCTAAGGAAGAATAACCTTAATGAGAAGCTGCTGCTGGCCTTCTAATGTTTCTCAGTGGAGTGTGCTCTCCTACTGCCTGGGTATTTGGTATGGACAGGCCACTAATGAGAACAGGAAGACTGCACAGAGGGTAATTAACACCTCCCAAGAAATAATTTGCTGCCCTCTGCTACCCCTGGAGACCTTCGTCAGGAAGGTCTCAGGAAAACCAGTGCCATCACAGGGGACCCCTTGCACCCCGCTCACCACCTGTTTGACCTGCTGCCCAGAAATCCAGCCTCACCAATCTAAGCCATGGTCTGAGTAACCTTTATCACTCAGGCCACTCACACACTGACTCTTCGCGGACCAAGTCTTTCTTTGCACTGCCTCTGAGCACTTTGCAACTGTTTTGTTCTCCAATGTGTGCCTTTGTCTTATTTTTGTATTTTTTTCCTCTTGTTTTGTGTGTATACACACATACATACACACATACATAAGATACAGTCGGTGTGGAGCACCTACAATTTCGTTGTACATGTACAATGACAGTAAAGTCCTATTCTATTCTAGAAGCCAGGAGGATAAACCAGCTGCTCTCCATTGAACCATCGAAGGTGTACACTCAGTGGCAGGGAAACTATAACAAACAAGGCTGGAGATGGAGCAATACTGGAGGACTATGTGGGAGAAGGATGTAACCCATAATAACAATGCTGGGTATCTGGTGGTGCTAAGAGCAACCATAGCAACCTCCCTGAACAAGCGTCAACAGTTGCAGATATCCAAAAAAGAATGAAGCATGAAGAGTTGGACAGCACCAGGCCCTGATATGAATCCCACTTACTGGCTAAAGAAGCTAACTAACTAACAATGAATGTCTGGCTGTACAAATTAACCTGCTGCTAATGAATGAGACATACCCAGAATGATTCCCTGGACCTCAAAAGAAGGAGTCCTATCCAACTGCTCTGTCTTGACTGCACTTCTGCGTAAGCGTGAACCAACCCTCAGTCAGAGTATTGACAAAACTGGTTATGGATACAGACTACAGAATAGAGCAATCGTGAACTGAATCCCTTTTTTAAAGAGAGATTATCCCCTTTTCTATTAGTACTGACTCGGATTGACTCGTCACGGTTCACCACGGTTTTCCATTAGGTCATAGTAACTGGTACCAGGCACTTTTTAGTACCTGCTCAGCTAGGGTTCCAATTGATCAAAACAGGTACTAAAATGTGACATCATCAGACTGCATGCCACCAACTGGTGTGTCGCAGTCGTGTCAATAGTAATTACGTCGCAGGACGTGCAGAGTCATTGCAATGACAACAAGCACGCAAACAAGGTACTACTGGGCTGTAATGGAAAG